ATCCATTACATGCTTGGATGCTGATAGTGTTTGTCAGGATGCTCTGCACGCCCAGAGACAATTAAGCTGAAACACAAGGCTGGCTTAATGAGGCTCGGCAGGAAAAACATCCCCCAACAAGGTTCTTTTGCTATGGAGATAGAAGTAGACAAGGTCCATTCATGTCAGGACGAACCACATGGCTCCACCGGTGCATTGTTGTGGTGTAGGTTCATGCTTTAGTGATAGTGCAGAAAGACAGATAAGCACTGAATGTAACCTTTCAGAGGCTTTATGATTTACTGACACACTTGCACTATGTGTGACACACAGTGTTCTCAGTCTCTTACAGATCTTCCGTGTCTGTGATTGTTATATAAGCAAAATCCTACTGGAGCCATATTCTGACCACAAGGTCATTTAAATTTTACTTTTAATGCGGTTTGAGTCGGCATCTGAGTAATTTTGACACTTTTTCCTTTCTTTTTTAAGTGGTCCCTTTTTCATCTTCTCTTCTTTCTAGTGGCGATAATTAATGAGAACTTTGAATTTTGGGGGCAAGAGGCTGCTGCATGAAACCCAGTCGGTTAAATAGCTGAATCATACAAGGTGTCCACATAATCCTCGTACAGCACCTTGTTCTTCATCCACTGCTCAACTAATCCAGACTGTTAGGATATTAGTCAGATTAAATGATCTTGTTAACTGTCACCCAGCTAACTCAGTTCTTCGACCACAAACACAGAGTTCTTTGTTTATTCCAGCTGCACAGCAGGAAGTAAAACTGAAAATATAAACATGAATTTAAGCCAAAATTAATCTGCTAATAAACAGATTAAAGGCACTCAAAAATGAGAAATGAGATTGTGTGACCAACAAGTTACTGAATGACGGTACAAAACAATGGTTATACAAAATGATCATATGATATTTGTTATAGGTGTATATATTTATATTTTATATTTTTGTAGGTGTGATGTTAGTAATAGAAAAAAAATCGGAATATTGCGTTTTCTTGTACTTGAATGTTGAAGCGGCCCTTCATAGAAATGACAATACCAGTGGTCGCGCCCCCTTTACATGGTTGCATAAAACGAAACCAAGACAACAAGATATGTCAGGTGTCAACTTAAAATCTATTTAATTCAATTCAGTTTAAGTTTTCAGTGCACTGATCACTCTGCAGTAACTGCTGCCATCATTTGGCGCTGCTGCTGTTCTAACCCAAGCATCCACCTGCGGGCTCTGGGTTTAAGTTTCCCTGAGGAGGGAAGTCTTTTTGTCACTCCCCAGTCTCTGCGGCGCTTACTGTGGTGTGTCCTTGCAGGGATGTAAATCCAAATACTAGCCTTGTACATGCTGCAATTTTAGCAGTTTTTGTTTAACAATTAGAACATGATAGCTTGTTATTTGGTTGTCTGCCTTCAGTTTACAGACAGATAGAGAAGAAAAGAACATCTAAATGCAATCTCACATGACTGAAATGAGACAAATGCATTAACTTTTTTTTTTTTACTCCCAAAAATAATAACAAACTTTATTTGCACTTTTCTCTATAAGGTTACAAAGTGAAGTTCATTTCAGTTGATAGTTCTTACTTCTATTCCTGTACTATCCTTTTCTTTCTCCTCTTTGTTGGCTTCAAGTTACTTTTCATTTGACTGTATATTGCTTAAAAAAGAACTTATTGGTTTGTGCTAACTTTAAGCCCACTGGCAGGTGAAGCTGGCCTCATATAATCCCAAATAAAGTCTAAATGTATTTTTGTTTTTTGTCTTGGTTTAGTATAGACCCTTGAACGCTTGAAGGCTTGTTATTATTTTTCTGAGGGAAGTGCTCGGTTTGGTGAAGTACTCTGTGTAATAATTTTAAAGCCCTGCAACACTGTGACGAATGGGAGGGTGAGTCACATTTTAACAGCATTGGAAAAGGAAATTATGCGACTCTGAAATTATCTCTCTGTACTCCCTGGGCTCTGAATTTCCCCTCAGATTAGATAAACAGTTGGCTTTAATGAAATGAAATATTTTATAATAATTGGTTGTCACTGTGCATGTACCTGCAGCCCTTTATGGCAAGATATTTCTCATCGCATTATTGTCCCCTTGCTGCCATAATGGTATGAAATGTTTCAGACATATAAAACAGAACCAGTTTAAATGTGATTTACTGCTTCAGAGATTTTGCAAACTGAGCTATCTCAACAACTGTTGTATGTAATGACTTTGGTGATCCCCTGGCCTTTCCTCTAGAACCACAAATGTCAGTCCAACTGAACTGATCACATTTAAGCATACATTTTTGCATAATCCCAGTGTTTTCTAATGTATTCTTACATTTAATTAATAAAAGTAAGGAAAAAAAATCTTCCCGTCAGTGTTTGATTGACAGCAGCTGGCAGGCTTAGTTCTAGCAAGGGAACAATAGAAAAAGTAAACAGACTCTGGCAGACAGTGGCTGCGTTCAAATAGTCTTTTTAATGTTGGAAGGTTCCTAACTGAGTGAAATAACCTGGATGTATTTCAGTGGCAGCCAGGATAAGAGCTGTTTGAATCTCTAAATGCTTCAGTTCTTACCTTTCTTCAGCATAGGATACCCTGGACCATCCTTTACCAAAGAAAAAGAGATAATGCAGACCCACAATTCCTTGCACCAGCGACCTTTAAGCTATAGAGCACCGGTTTTATGCTTGTGACACTTACAAAAACCATAAATATAGATTTCTTTCAGATCATCGATCATATTGGGAGTAGGCATATTGACTCTCTAGTTGACAGTATCACCATCAAAACAATATTAGAGGTGTAAAAAAATATTCTATTGTAGTATTTTATTTTGTGATATGTATCAATTCTCAAAAACAATTTTTGTGATTAAATCCCAAAACGCTAGATAGCAGTGTTGTAAATGTAAACTGAGGGCTACGATGTTGGATGTTACAGCAACTGTGATCAATACAAGATCCAACTGTTCTGGTTGCATTAAAAAAACAAATAGAAAATACATTTTTACCTTTGGGACTAAGGTTTAATTTATATGTTGGTGTGTTCTTTATATTATAAGTAAATTAAATTTTTTTTAAATTAAATGGCAATATATTGCCTAGCATACAGTATCGCAATATATCACAAGATGTTGAATTGTAACCCCTGTAACGTGATACGCCAGATTCTTGCCAATACGCAACCCTAAACAAAATACTGTATACATAAATATTGCTTCACTAAGCCTGTAAGTGCAGTCTCCTAGCACTACGGTTGTCTTCCTTATGAGTTGTCCTTCACATTTTCCGTTGACCTCATTATGTTTTCTACCTAAGTCAAGGAAAAGTGTTTAGGAGAGGACATAGGACGTAACCGTTTTTTACTATATGACAGTTGTGTGTTTACTTCACACTGGAAAACACACTAAAATAAGTTGGCTATCATGGTATAACTATACCTGCTTAACATTAGAGTGTTAGCTTTGTCACTGTGTGTATAATAGCATTTTTCTCAAAACATCACTGTGCCCTTATGTCATGTTCATGTCACATCATTGTGAGCAGCTGAGTATGAGAAACTGTTCGTGTCAGCCTCTTCGTTGTAGTTCCAAGCCCATCAACAAAACTGTCTACAAAGCCATCGCTGATGAATCTAAATGAAATCTAATATAAACACTAAGCAAATAAGTGAATTTGAAGGGAACTAAACACACTGTGTTTGTACAGTATCTGGTTTCCTTCGATAATGAACCGCTGCAAATACAAAAGCATCTAATTTATTGGAGCAACTGCAAAGCAGTAGGAGTAACCATCTTGGAATAATGTGTGAAAATTTGTTAAAATATGTTTTTCTGTGTACAATGGTGAGTCCACCCTTGATGGAGTGTGAAAGTGTTGCCGAACTGTTGACAACAGCTTTTACCCTTATCTGAAATGTGTGTTTTGTCTGGCTCGTAACAGGGAGACTATTCTAATCCTTAATCCAGCTAATTGCATTATCAAATGCACGTCATACCTTGGAAGTAATGCAGTGTTGAAACAATTAATCTTAACTGCAGGCTGTATTTAAAATATTTTGTTGTCTGTAAAACTAATACATGATGATAATAATACAATTTTGTATCTGCTCGCCTGTGTTGTTATCTTCTGTGAATCATGGAAGCTACACAGTTGGCTGCTGCCCTGCCTTAGATTACTTACAGAACTGAGTACATCCAAGGTTTCCATGTCACCTGAATGAATGATCAGATGTTTCCAGTGTCACACTACTTTGTTAACCTTTATGCCTGCTTATTCAGCTCTCTTCCACTCCCTGCCAGTGTGTAGGAGAGAGGAAACACACTCCAGGTGTTATAAATGATGTGGTGTGTGTACATGCTCGTGGGTCTAACTGATGGAGGGGGAAGAAAGAAGGTAGATTGGGGCAGAGCCGGCCGCTTTAATCACCCCATTCTCTTTCCCTTTCCCTCCCTCCTTCCCTCTGGCCCTCCACTCATCTCATTACAGAGAGGAGAGGGTGAGAAGTGAGGCCTGCATAGACCTCAGCATTAATTATTGAACCCTATCTTCTTTTACTCCAGCTCCTCCTCCACAGTCTCTGATAACCTTTACATAAAAGAGCAGAGGCTAACTCTTAGCCATTATATAGTGTGGTAGGTATAGCGCATATATATATGAGAGACCCAGTTTGGTTTTAGCCATTAAGAGACTGAAGATTGCTCCAGTTGAGCTTCTGAGCTAATTAATTCCACTTTTTAAATGGGTGCTGTTGTGCCATGGTAAAGCAAATAATTATAAAAGCTGACTCAATACCCATGCCCATGCATTGTCTTTGTCATGTTGTCTGAGTTATGCTCTGGTCATTGCCTCCTGCCATGCCCAGTCTATTTGTGTCGCTCAGTTGGAGGCCAGTTAACGGAGGTTGTGTGGCCAAGGCATCCAGACAACTTGAGGGCGACCTGACTTTGATGCTGAAAATCTCACTGTTCTCTCCCTCTGTCCCCTGCCCCTGTCTTTTTCTTTGTATGTATGTGTGCAGGTGTGTGTGTGTGTGCGTGCTTCCTGCAGGTTTGAAAAGTCAACATCAAGCCTTGACCTCCCGAAGCCTCTGAGCAGGAGAAAGAAGGCGCTGCCAAGATGTTCAGCACCAAAAGGTCAGCACAATGTCACTTTTGATCTATTCTTATCCGCTCATAAAGAAATAAAAAAAACCTTTTTAAAATGGCTTCTGCTGGTAATGGCTGACATTTCTGGTCAGCTGCGTTCCACAGATGGCTTCGGATATGAAAAGACATCGATGTGAAGAAAGGTGATTTCAGGTCACAATGCAAAAAAAAAATCACAAAAACAAAACAAACCTCATTATTTAAGGGTAAGGAGTGTGAACTATATAATTTGAGAAACAATATCTTCACCTATATATGCGTCTGAATTCATATTAGCTGTCACCCTTCTAACCAGGTTGACCCCAGAGAACCCTTTCAACAGAAGTGTAAATACTCTCACACAGCCTTTGAAGGAAGTTTAGGAGACCCAGTTTACAGTCCTCCTTTGTTGTGTGTACATTCTGTATTTTTAATGTGGCTTGTGGTAGCGTACAGTCCTCATCCATAAATCATTTATCGCTTTGGCTTTTCTGGATGTTGAGTGCAGGGTAGAAGTAGTCACTTTGCTTTACCAGTAAGTGGCGAAGTTCACAGCTTGGGTTTGGTTTGTATTCAAACGTATAATATGCATCGTTTTCCTAATTAAAATGTCTAAAAAGGACTTGACCTACATTATATATTATAGAGTTGTGTACTTACATTATCTCAGACGTTTCCAACAATGTTTAAACCCATAGAAATGTTATTCACTTAACAGTACTTTTTCCAACTTGCCCTAGTTGCTTTAACTTCCAGGTAGGAAGTTGGCGAATGTGACGAAATTAACATGAATAAAAACTGAATTCATTACCTCATCTGTGAACAGGATTTCACATCAGATAGATTTCTATCGGAAGTGGCTGTTCTTTGACATCAACTCCCATGACCCCATGCTCCTTCATTACGTCAATCACAATATTATTCACATTTATTTCCTCATTTTTTAAGAGGTATTTCTTTCAAAATGGAAAATTTAAATTGTGCAAACTGTCCAGAAGATGTATTTTCCCATGTAGATGACATTTAAAAAATAACCTTTCTTACTACAAACTGGTGACAGAATAGAGAGTAGGTCATATCTGCAAGTGCACCATTTGCACAATACATGTTTATCATACAGAATCAGCTTTTCCAAAACCAAAAATGCAAAGCAAAATTTTGTGTTTGTCTACTCTAATTTAAGC